GTGCAGTAGTAGTTAGTTAGTTGCAGCAGCAACAGTAATAGCGTCGTACTGATTAGTCATAGTAGTAGACTAAGAGACAAACTTCATGTTATCAAATATATTTTAATTCAGAAAAACAAAAAAAATATCTTTTACTAAATAGTTTTCAACGTGAGATACATTTACATAATACGAAGTCAATCTCAGTTAAGAAACTATATAATAGCATAAAACAATTTCATTAACGATAATTTTTTGTTTTTTTATAATAATACCAGAAGGTGGAACATGATTGAAATCACTTATTGAATATAATTACATATGTATTAATCGGATTATGGAAATTGAGTAAGCTGCCTCATAAAATGGTGAATAGTGTAACGTGTTTCCACTAAAAAAAAAAATCTATCATTCAACAGTATATAAACAGCATTGATCTACACATCTGCGTCTCTCTTTTCTTTTTTTTATAGAAGTTTCTTATTAAAAATTCTCAATTATCTTATTGTTCATTTGTTTTTTGTCGTCTTTACGGAAACATTCTAAATATAGAATGACTGTATCAGATGATGCGTTTTTTCTTTTATAACTTTCTTGGTCATTTTTTTATTTTATTTAAAGTATTTGGTAGTATGCTGTCGTATAATAGAGGTAAACCTCGATATATTTCTATATGAAGAAAAATATTCGCACCGAAAATCATAATTGAGCATTTTTCATAATTACTTCAAGTTTGACAAGTCATTTTCGCTTAGTTGCGCTCTTTTTTCAATCAACATCAAAAGAAGAAAAACTTGGAAACGTGTATAAATGACTGGTAAAGTGAATCGTATTTTATTTTATTTTATTTTTTTTGTGTATGTATGTGTCGTTGGTGTTGTTAGAAAAAGTAGTCGTCACTTTCTATCAAGAGAAAAATAACTCAAGTAAAAATAAATGAATGGAGTAATTTTTATTTTTATTTTTATCTCCGTATCGTGTGAGAGATGGTAGATAGAAATAACGAATATTTCATACAAATTTTAGTAACATGGATAGATAATAAAGTTGAATATATATATATTTTTGAAATATATCATGACTAGATTAGATGAACGAAAATTTTGATATTTATAGATTTTTCCATCGTGTTATAGGTTTTCTTTCATTTTTAAATGTACTATAGTATTAACTTATTTTTAGAATACTAAAGCTAATTAATTATATCTAATACTTATCTATCGTCATCATGAATAACAATAGTCACGAATCATTTAAAATAATGCATTTGTCAATTGTTAAATTATTAGCACAACAACAAAGTAAAAAAGAAAATTTACATCGTAATCTATTATTATTACAAACGTTACAAAAAGCGAAACATACACTATTTGAACGATTATTATTTGATGTTAAAACAAATTTTATTGAAACATTAAATCAACAACAACCTCATCCATCAACCACTCCATTCATAATACCAATAGAAGAAAATCATCATCAACAACAACAACAACAACAACAACAACGGAGAACATCTCCAAGAAGAATACATCATCGTCATCCACAACAACAATTAACATCAAAAAATATTGAATTATTAAAACATTTAGCATCAAAAACTTTAGAACATGGTTATCAAATTCGAATTAATGGTGCAAATATTGAAGAGCTTGAGAACAGTTTTCAACAACAGCAACAATCAACAATAAATGAGAATGAATCTATGTTAACAACAGTAAATCAGGAAGAACAAACAACCGTTGAATCAACAAATTTACATTCACGTTTAATGTCGTTAATTAAAATTCCTTCCATACAGGTTAAATTACGTCAATTATTATTATCAGCATCAGAAGATAATCAAGAAAAAAATAAGAGTCTTCGTGCTTTACGAACGTTTTTATTACAAAATTTAGAAATGACAGAAATGGAACATGAACAAGAAGAGGATGAAATGAGTGTCGATGTTAATAATAATAATCAAACACGAAAACGAAATTATTCAGATGATACACAAGGACATCAACGTCAAACTGGTTCAAAACGTCTTTGTTTACATCATAATCATCATCATCATCATCAATTTCAAATGGCTATTTAATAAAACATAAAAAATAAATTATATTGTTTACATATTTGCCATAGATATATATTGAAGTGCCAAAATCTGGATGAATGTTTGTCAGTTGCATTAATCTGTGAGTTTTTCTTCTTTTTTTCTTTTTTTTTTTGTTTTGTTTTTTTGTTTTTTCTATTTGACTTAGAGGTCTTATCTCGTCGAAGATATTTTGTAACAATTAATTATTATCATATTCGTATTACTTTTTAAAATCAGCCGGTGTTACGCTTTGTGTTTTATTTCTTCTTCTTCAAATAGACATGACGCTCATGATTTCTACACATGCATTAAGAAAAAAATGAGGTGTGTTTTTTTTTTCTTTTTGTCGATTTTAATATCATTGTTCTCTGGTTTTGTTTTCTTTCATAAATTTTTTTTTATTATTAATTATTACTCATTACGTATTATTATTATTATGCTTAACATTCTCTCTCTATCTTGTTCGCGTTTTCTTTTTCATTTTTGTTTTTTGTTTTTGTTTTTTTGCGCTATATGTGTTTGTACAAAAAAAATGATGATATTTTAATATGACAAAAAAACAAAAGGAACACAAATGTACCAAAATAAAAAGATGGTATATAATATTCAAAATATATACGGTTAGTTTGACAATTTTAAACGAGAGATATATTAATCTCTTGGAAAATAAGAACAATTGTTATTTTAATTATCTTAAATTTTAAATGATTTAAAAAACAAATCCATTTTTTCAAGTTATCAACTACATTTAACTCTATTGAACTGAGTTTTCCTATTTACGTTGTGTGAAAATTCTATTCATATTTATTTATACAGTGAAATAGATAAATAATAATAATAATCTATGTCCCTCTTAAACTGAGTTAACCATTCATTAGATGTCTAGATACATATATATTTTACTTCTCATATCTAATAGTAAATCTTTCACTTTTGTTCACTTTCATATAGACATATCTTGTTTAAAAATGGTGATAAAAAGAGAGACAGAGAGAGAGAAAGATCTAAGAATAGAACAATCTAAAATATCCATTATTTTAATGAAAAAAGGATCGGTTGAATCAAGTTTTTAAGTGACTATATAATTCTTACGCTTTGATTAATCAAAGAGAAAGTTGACAGTAATATCTCTCATCTAAGGTGCTAAATATTAATCAATTATCGAACAAGTAGATTACGTTTGTCATGAAATATATGATTTTACTTGAGGATAAATAATAAAAGAGTCAAAAATTGAATCTTTAGTTTATTATAAGTTTGAAAGCTCTTAAAAGGATTTTACAAAAAAAAAACAGAGAAAAAAGAAGAAAAATCCAAATTCTACTCTGATCAAAGATAATTTTTTTTTTATTTTAAATAATTGAAATTATAAAAGCAGCTTACATTTATGTATGTTCTTATCAGAAGTTTTCTTTGAAAATCAACTTTAATGTTGTTATTTTTTGAAGAAAAAAAAAAAAGACTGCTTTTAAACGAAAAGTAGCTTATCAAAACATTTCTTTTATATGTAAAAAAAAAAAGTTTCATTGAAGACATTTGGATTTTATAACAATAATTTCATTTACTAGCCTATACTCGTTATTACAAGTAGATTATTAGCTTTAAAATAGCTCGAGATTCTAGGGAAATTAACTGGCATTCTTTTTCTTTTTTTTCAATGGTACCAGATTCTAATGTTTTATATAGCGAACACAGATTGTCATTATTTTCTTTCAGTTCTGTACTAAACGAACCTTTCATTTATTGTTCATGAAATAACTCTCTAACTCTATAGAAATAACGAAAATAGGTTATGTATGTGTGTGTGTGTGTGTGTGTGTTGATGTCTTGAACTAAATATAATAATAACTCTATCCGAGAGAATAATAATATTTGGTTGATGAGAATATATATATTTTTCTTCTTCTGTATAACAGAGAGACTATTTATTATTGCATTGCCTATGGGACATATTTTTTGCATCTCAGAGGGTTTAGATTTTATACCCTTTAGTATTATAATATTATTATCATCGAGATTTTTTTTTTCTTCTTTTGTCGCACATACAATTTACTATGTCTTTTATTTTCATTTTTTGGCACATATTTTGCCAGAAAAGTAAAGAATTGAAAGAATTTGCCAAATGTATAGACTATAGCTAGCGATATATATATATATATATATTTATAACTCTAGAGTAGAAAGAGAGAGAAAAGAGAGAAAGAAGAAGAAAAAAAATGATGTTATGAATGAAAGTGTAAAAGAAAAGAAAAATCATCTGATGATTTATTATTTATATTTTCATTGAAAAATTTATCATAACTATTGGCATAGAGCCAATAATGAGAGAAAGAAAAAAGAAAAAAAAAATGAACAAGATTGAAAATTAGTAGTACAAATAAAATAAAAGAAAAGATTTTACAATAAACACACTAATAATTTGAACAAATAATAAAATTTATAATATTTAATTAGAAAAATAATTTCTCTCTTATAAAATATTTAGAATGTATGTGTGATGGAACATGATTTTTTTTCATTATTCTAAATAATTTATGTACAATAATAAAAGATGGTCTAAAATTTAAAAAATGATTGATTCTAAACATACAAGCAATATAGATATATATATATTAAAGAATATACCCTTTAAAACTATTTTCATCAACAGTAATTGGTAAAGAGTAGCATTTACTTTTTGTCACTAAATATGTACAAGCATCATTTCCCTTTTTTGTCTAATGGAAAATTGAAACCAGTATTTGTATACTAATTCTAGAGTGTGTGTGTGTGTTCACTTTTTTCGTTCATTCTCTTTTCTCGTCTAACACTAAATTAGATGCATGAACTTTTGTCGTATGTTTGTATGTTTCTCATGACTGACAATGTTAATCCCAATATTGTCTGTTGTTCTATATTTTACTAATGATCCATATCGTTAAGTCGCTGTTTTCGGGTGATGATCGATGTTTTCTAGAGAAACGAACACATATACACATAGAAGGAGAGAGAGAGAGAGAGAGAAGTGTTGTTTAATTAACTGTACAGTGCATATACGCACGAAAGAAATTGACTTTTTCACATAAACAATGACGTCTACGCTGATGCTCAATTTTAATGAGATAACATGTTCACAATTTCCTGTTTCCTAGCTCCATTTCATGCTTTTACTCTAGTTCTTTCTTGTTGATCTTTTTTTATTCAGACAAATCAAATATTAACCTTTCTATTGTGAAACTCAAAACCCGTGGTTTTCGCCTGTTTTTCAATCTACCTCCACTCCTCCTAGACAGTGTTTACACCTGCTTAACTTGGCGTTTCCATCTCCTTAAATTAACGATTATACTTACTTAAATTGATATTTAGACTTCATTACACTGATGTTTACATTTCCTACAATTAGTATTTGTAGTCTAGAGACTACAAACATTTACGAGCTTAAATTCGACGTTGAGCCCTCATGTATATGTATTGTAGCTTATAGCATGCCGTGAACATCTTCTTTAATGGTGGTTTGTATACGTAGTAGAGTGCATCATGAGACTAATTCAAAAATGATCTGAACATGAGGATGAGTATGTGGACCGTGTTTACTATTGATTTAAGCTGGTATATCGATTCTCATTTAAGTATTAAATGTAGTATAGAGGAGTTTCACCATTTTAGCCCCAATAGGCGCTGCAAAGTTTTCTACTAAAACTAGAGCATATCGTTTCTCAATACTGGATAGTTGGAAAAAAATCGTACAATTAGAGATTATCTTAACTTTTTGAAATGATTTTTTCTATTATTAAATATCAGTATTTTAGCCTCATATTATATCAGAGTCTCGATTAAGCCAAACACTATCATTTTTATAGTCTGTCTCATTTATACATGTGTTCATCATTTAAACAGCATAGAACAGCGATTTTTAACGCTTAAATAATATGACATTAATATTAATGATTTATTTAGAAATGTTCGATAAAAAATAAGAAATTGTATTTTAACATGTTTCAAAACAGTTCACATTTAAATGTAAATAGTGGATTTAGCGGGTAAAGACTATAGATGACTGTAGAAGATAAACAAAGTTAAAAGGTTAATGTTGGAGAAGAAAGAAACAGATTGTTCGTTAGTTCGATAACGATCATTTTTCCATTGTTTTTCTTAATAAAATAAATAATTTTTTGAATCTTTTATTCTAATAAAAACTTCTTTTTTACATTTAATAACATCTTTACGAAATATTAGAATAATAAATAACAATTTCTATTCATGATCTGTACACTTATCGATTCGACAGGCTAAACATTTTAACAGTCCGACAATTTTTAAGTGTTCATCATTTTGTTTATATATATTTCGATAGGAGTTGTTCAACGTTTATCCATTAATCGTGACAAACTGTTGTAGATCAATAGGTTTAGTTTAAAACCCTAAGGATGTTTAATAAAATTTTCTCTACGTGCAAATTATTAAAAATTTTATTGTATATTGATGAAACTTCCGTTTTTGTATGCAATTTTTTTATTTGCGCACGAATATTTCTTTTCTCTCGTCATTATATTGATTGATGAATTTCAATGACAAGGATAGAATAAACAGAGAAATAGCCAGCCTTCAACTGTCTATAGCCTCTCTATGTTTTAGAAAATGACGAAGATTTGTCTTTTTAGAAATATTCTAAAGGATACTACCAGTTTTTAAAATTTCAAGCCTTTAGCTTTCTATTATAGGATAAGATAGAGATTTCTAAGACGCATCTGACTATATGCTTCTTAGGACTTGGTGCTGTATGGTTCTTGTGTAAACTAAAAAGTTTGAGCACTGGATGCCTATGTGATATCTATGTAATCAAAAAATATATTTTTCAATGCCCTTCTACTTTTTTGACAAACACATTTTACTGTTGGATAAGCGAGATGATCGTACATTTGTGCATGTCATCGGTCTATCGTGTAATGCTAAGAAGGCCGAGAATCGTTCGAAAAACTAAATAATATGTTGGTTTTTTTAAAAGATCATGATCAGCAAAAACG